CAGGAAGTCTGAGTTACCAAAATGCTTTATGCTCAATGTGGACTTGACTTGTAAAAGAAGTTATGCTAGTCAATATGCTCACAAAGTGAACAGGAAATCAAGTAAAACATTTTATGATATTTTAGAGGTCCATCCTTTAGCAACACAATCAGAGATAAAGTCTGCATATTATGAATTATCACTAAAGTATCACCCTGATGTCAGTAGTAGTGATGARGGAAAAGAACATTTTACAGGTATGGACAGAGCAGCACGGCAGCATTATATATTAAAGATATTTGAAACAAAGAAATTATGGTGGATCAATCCATTCAAATAATATGCATTAAACTTTAAAATAGTTTAAGCTGTTTCAGTTTTGCTAGTGAAACAGTTGTCAGGGTTCGCGCTACTCCTTGAAATCCTTGAAAAGTCCTGGAATTGAAGACTCGTTTTCAAATGCGCTTGAAAAGCTCTTGAAAATGGGAAAAATCTTTAAAACTCCTGGAAAACTCCTTGAAGCTGATAAAATTGACATGTTTTGTTTTGTTTTGTTTTTTTTTTTTTTCGCTACGCTCGTGTTCCTAAGGTTGCTTCTCTCGTGTTTTTCAAACTCCCACAGTGTTTATATCAGAGGACAGAGACACACACGCCGTTTTATATTTCCTAAATACATGACTCAATATGCTAGGTAATCTGAATATCAAAGAACTAATTGTACAGCACTCAGGTAAATCCACTCCATCGATAGATTTTGAATCAACTTTTATCCACTTTATAAGAATTAATCGCCCTTCTAGAATCAGCCTTAGATGAACAGAAGGCTTCTTTGTTTGCCATAGCAGTTACTTGATTCAGATGACTAACAATTTGTTTATAATATCAACAACATAATATTTCATTCAATGATTCCAGAGCTKACAAAGGCTTACTCAGTTTTGAGTAAAATAGAATCTAGAAGGGAATATGACAAGGAAATTGGCACTTATTAYATGGTGAGAAATCATCCCAAAAAGAGTAGTGAAAAAGTCCTAAGACTGATGGATGACTTGGTGGAAATAGACATGAAACACATTAATAAGGTGAGTTCTTAACTTAATTGTAATATGAAAAAAAGTTCTTAGTTTCCAACAGGATGGCTTCCTGGTCATGTATCATTGGCAGTTTCCTTTGACCTGACAAAACTAGAAGTACATCATCTTGCATATTGCAACTTCTCTTTTTAAAATTTTGCGTGGATTTTTTCCTCCCAGCTGAGACCTTACATGCAAATCCTAAACTCTTTCAGTAATTTGTAGATTTATAGCAWGCTCCACTACCAAGTCAAGCACACACACAAAAAGAAAACAAATCCCAATGATTTCTTTTAAAATTTGCAGTCACAATGTAATATTTCTGATGTTAAACAATGGGGAAATTGATAGTTTATTTGGTTGTCTGCCTGAAGATGACTTTCATGTATTTTGCCTAACTTTGCTACATGTATTATAAATTACAAAGGAGAAGAAACTTTCAAATGGCTTGAATTCAATATACTGAGATTCATATTTCAATTTATTTTTCCAGCCGTCTACATTTCTACACAATGCCATTGCATTAAGCACTATTCTAAGAATTCCTATTAGACTGAACAAYATCAAACACAAAACTGGAGCTCAATCCCATGATATCAGGATGCTGCAACTGCTTAGGAAGGTCTCCAATGGTACTTTAGTGGCCAACAAAGGATCTTCTACTGTAACCTTTATWCCTAGTGAACTACAGAGTGGGATGTTTAGCATGGAAGCAGGMCGGTTTGGGTACTGAATTTAATGTATTTTAAGAAAGCCAGTTAAGAGATGAATTATACATCATATTAAWCTTATTYCATAACTGTTTCTTTATAAAGTACTAATGTAGCTCACACTAGTTTACTCAGTTTTATTTTATTATTAGTACATTGTATTTAAAATAAGTTATGCCTAGTGCCCAGACATATATTTGCCAAATTGTMCCTAAATGTGTGTTTGAAATCCTCTGGGGAAACTTGAATATATAATTGAAGTACTATGTGTTTAGGACGTTCATGTGAATTTCTGGGCTGGATTGTTCAATACTCAAAACTATGGACTTAACCCTGGATTAATGCTAATCAAGCTTTTAACAACCTGGCCCAGGCTTTAGAATCTAATGTTTTGGAGGCCTGTGTGACATATTTAAGTATAGACACAAGTTATAAACATGGAACTGAAGATGAGATTTAACTTTGTGTGTGTTTGTTTCATTCAGTTGTTGTTGTTGTTGTTTTTACTATTTCTTCATTTGTCTTCCAGGAGTATAAGTCTATTAATAGAATCAGCTTTGCCTTGTCTAATGTTTGGACCATTGCCAGAGTACAGCAGAACCAATATATTGAGTCTTAAAGGAACTACTCATTGYAATTATGGCCTTCATATGGATTTCATGGAAAAAGTAAGATTTGTACAGTAAAAGAAAGAAAGGTGCTCTGTTTGTAGAATGTAGAGCTACATTGTATGTTACTTAATCTGCATTCTTGAATATAATTTGTAGATCCCAGTAACATTATTACTGGCTCTTCATTTGTAAAGCAATTTGATGTCATTGCTATTTTAATTAGTAAATGCAGTTTTTGATCGAGTAAGTTCATTTGCTTATGCTTCTCAGGAAATTTTGCACTTGATATTGCAATGCAAAAAAAGAAAAAAAGTCATAAATGGTTAACATTATAAATTTTATGTGCTTTTAGTGTTTCTTGGAAAATTTAGCCAAATATTGTAAGGAAATTAGTACTTTTCTTGCAGCAAAAAAAAAAAGCATGTTATATCATATTCATGCAGTTGCGAGAGTGTCAACAGAAAAAGTTGATGCAATGCTAGCAGTTGCAGCATACAATATGCCAGTGCATATGAAATGGCAATTCCATATGTAATCACAATCTCATATATTTTTTTGTTAACTGATAGATTTATAAACCTTTAATGAACAAGTTTGGTTTGGACTTTGTTATGGAAATGAGAAAAAGGTACTTGCTATAACGTAATAAAACTTATAATAATATTGTAATACTTTATTTTATTCATGAAATAACTTACAATATTGAGAAACTACCTCTACGTAGCTATTGTGAGATCTCTAATACACATAAATTTAATCATTGTGTTGTTCTTCCCACAGGTCATACATACCACATTGGGATGGTAAAGTAATCCTTAGGTCTCTTCCATCAACACATGTCCAATCTGCYACTCTGACTGACATTGGATGCCTWAMGAAAATCRCTTGTYTGTGCTCTGTGGCAGGTTCTAAACCAGTCAGAGTAAGCTAACTGTTATATCTGTAAAAAAAAYGGTTATWTKGKAAAATTGGAGGGAGTATGCAAACACATACAAAACATTGGAAAGGAATACACTCCAGCTGATTGCAACTCAAGGCATTGATACTRTAACTTATCAGGCCTAGAAGTTTCTATGTGATTATCTCAAGTTYAGACAATTTGATGTAATCTAGTGTAGTATTCAACTTGCAATAAGCTCAAATACAAGCTTTGAACCACATTTAATATGCAATATTCATCAAAGAATCAATTCGATGACTACCTGGAGATTTCTTAGTTAARTGCCTGTCTGCAATATCAACACAGGTAGCCCAAGTCATGGCCAAGAAAGTCTCACTGCAGCTGAAAAAGAAATTTCCTCGTATACCTGTRATAGTTGATTCAATCAGAGAGCGTGACAGCAGAAGTGAGGGCAATGGTCAGGCAATGATGTAAGTAAAGCTTCAAATCTCTTTTTAACTAGGATTAGGAGTCTTCACATATTGTCTTTGTACCTCATTCATCTTAATGCAATTTTTAAATATTGTATTATTTTTCAGAATTGTTGGTGAGACATCAACAGGGCATACTATAGGGGGGACTGCTTTATGGCAAAAAGGTATTAAAGTATTAAAGCTTTATAATGGTCTCAAATCACAGAGGGTTGGATCTTGGGACTGTAGATAGAGGAAAGAGACAATTGTGACATGCCCCTTTCATCATCTTCATCATCGTTCAGCTGCAGAGCAGACAGTTGTACAACATTTCTCCAAGCACATCGATCTTGGGCAACTGTTGTAATTTAATGATTGTATACATTTTACATTTCAGCACTCAAACCTGACATGCATGTATGGGTTTAGGTTTTAGGACACCTCGAAACATTTCTGCATGTACTCTTACTAGAAGTAGTAGTAGTTGAAATGATGTAGGTGAAATGATGTCAGTGATGTTAATACTGAGATTGGTGGTTGTTCTGTCTAGGAATGACTAGAGATGAAGTAGTAAGCAAAGCTTTTGAAATGTTCACAAGRCATATAGACAGTGGCAATTATGTTGATGACGTTTTACAAGATAAGGTAGGAACAAGATGAATGGGAGAATAAATGAGCAAATAAATGGATGAATGACTAAACAAATGAGAGAATAAACAAATGAAAGAATGAGCAAATGAAAGAATGAATAAATGAAAGAATGGATGGATGAAGGACGAATAAAATGACTGAATGAAGAAATCAATGGTCACGTAAATGGATAAAAAAATGAACGATTAAAAACGATGTACACCTACTTGCGAAAACGTTGTCATAGAAAATAGGACATTTGTATTTAGTCAAAAAGGAATAAATAAAAAAGACAAAAGAAGATCACTGAGGCTGAACGCTTTCTTTTGTCTTGTTTTAATTTATTCCTTTTTACTAAATTCAAATGTTCTATTTTCTATGACAACGTTTCTGCAAGTAGGTGTATGCAATGCCAAAATTTATTATTAATACAGTTTGCTGCTATATATTGATTATTTACCACTTTTATACTCCAATAGGTCATCCTGTTAATGGCTTTAGCCAGTGGTCGTTCTACTATTCGCACTGGACCCCTCTCWGCTCGCACTTACGCTGCGATTAGTGCTGTAGAAATACTCTCCGAGGTAAGAAATGCAAAMCAACTTCACTTGTCATCGAGAATCCATGTTCTGTAAATAGGACAACTGTATTTTTTATGAAGTTTGGTTGTGAAATTCAGCTAAGAAAACTGAGAGGGGAAATGGGAGTAGTGGTTGTGAAACGAATTTTTTCCCCTTTACTTTCTATTCATCTGTTTCTTTCTTTYCTACAGAAATCCTTATTTTAGCAATTCATTCCTTTGTTTATTCATCCATCCCATTTTCCATTTATTCAAACATCCATCCATTCATTCGTTCAATCAATATTTATTTTGATTATTTTTCTTTTTTTTTATTTTCAGGTGAAGTTTGATATAACGAAAGACGCAAACAGTGTTTTGATATCTTGTGAAGGACTTGGTCTAACCAATGACTATTTGGACGGTGATGTGATGCAGTGAATGTCACTATTAAATTACTTTGATGTGGAAAAAGGTTGTTCGGTATTCGCTTTTTCTCTCCCTACTCCCCTTCGAAGGTCTTGTACACAGCTTCCGTTGTAGTGAAAACAAGCTTTAATTGTATAAGTCTTCATTATTGGAGGAATAAACTAAGTGGTTTAACCTCTATGAACCGCCAACATTTGACAGACAGTAACATCATTGCAGYAACAGTAAACTTATTATGCGCAAGTTTCCACGCAAGTCACGTCACGGAGCGCCGTAAGGATACCACATTGACGGAAACGAACCYTCGCAACTGACTCTTTACTGAACTGAGGTCTTGTTTGGTTTGATATGGACATTTTAAGTGTTCTTGTATGCTTGGTTACTTTAATTCAAGTCAGCTTACAAGGTAAGCAGAAAACCTTATTCATTTAAACATTTCTTCTAGTTTAAAGGAATAAGTTCCCATGTATAAGAATTTTGACCTTTAATAAAAAAGTGACTTTGATGTTTTGTCGGAAATGCAAAATGTTRTAATTAATGCATTTGAATCAAGTACGACTCGAAMATGACCAACTATTAAAAGAGTCTGATAGTTTTTCGGCCGTTAAAAATATTATTTCATTGCAAATCGTATTTTCAATGTTGRCACAAAAATAGTATTATGAATTTCAGCCGATGACATTAAAAATATWTAAATAATTCAGATCAATTTTGTGGTATTGGTTCAAAATGATTGTTTTGACTGATTATAGCGCATTAGCGTATTATATATTGATGTATTTATTTTGTTTTTAATCATGATATCTATGATATCAAACAAGATAGCAGTTACTTGAACGAAAATTTTCATGAACTTACGGAATTTTACACCTAATGGTAGCATCGAAAATCCGTGAAACAAGATGTACTGATCAAGGTGTAGCGAGAAAAATTTGCGACGTTTTTCACATTTTCTGTCTATGAATGGTGTTGCATGCAGCCGATAAGCTCCATAAACCGTGAAATATAGTTAAGTCGCTACAACCCGTGAAACATGTAATTGAATTGATACACTCGTTCAGTAGTCMTTAATTCCTTTGTTCGCTTTTGGATCTTTGACTATCTCGTACTCCTTGAAAATTGGATTCTGTTAGACGGGTTAATAACGTCTTCAATCTACTAATTCAGGTTCAATGTGCAATATGTCAATAAARAAATTCAATAAAGCGACATCAATATCCCTTTTAAAACCGTCAATAAGCCTCAGAACGCTKTCGAACAGTTGTCTGGAGTATTTCATTTCTGATAAACCAACAAAACCGCGTCCATTCCWACCGAATGACGCAACTTGTCTTGTCTTAAACCATTGTTATGTAAAACAGTTTTTACTCTACTGTTCAAGCTGGTTATCTAATCTTTTTTAAAGGATTTAAAAACTCAACTTTATTAACCGAGATAAAGATGTTAAGAAAACTTGTGCTCGCTCCGCTCATTGACCGACGAAAGATTTTTCAATCAGTTCAATTGCATCATTATTTTCATAAGGATTGTGTTTCTTATTTGTTTGTACATCTGTTACGACCTCTTGTTACAACAGCCATGCGCGCATATTAGGCTTACACGTCGAATTTTATATGTGCTGAAGTATGAGATGATGATGATGATGAATTTKTATTGGCGATTTTACGGCGTAATTTCCAATTCCATGCCATTCTATCTAACCTGATATACATTTCCAATTGCTTTCATATAGTTTTAATAATATTTACACATTAGCGTTTCATTCAATTAATTCATCCAAGCTTTCAYCCATGCCATTCCCTTTCATTTATTCATTCATTTTCTCACTTTTCATAATTTGTTGCTCTCAGTTTTAAAAATTTATAATGTAATTCGGTTAAGTATTGATTACCCTGAATCTGGACATTTGAAATTTCAGTTGTATATTGAGTTTTAATTTTCGCTAGCAGTTTTAGCGAACAAATTCGTGGGTKGAAAAAATATTCGTTCSATGGCAAGATTATTGAACACATTAAATGCGCATATCGTCTGCTTATCTGAGACTGTTTAATATTATAGTAATCACCACTTCAAAGCTGGTTGATTTGGGTTAAAGTTCATATTTCTGTAGACTCGCTGGAAGCGTACCAAAGCGACAAAACCAAACCTCACCTCAAATGTACGTGYATTTGCCTCGCTTGAACAGGAAAATCGCACGATAAGTCGAGAGAGCTTGCCAAGATGTGCTTATTCTTGCYTGGAAATATGGTTGCCCTTACTGYATAAAGGAMAGAATCTTTAGGAAAGAAGTGGGAGGGAGAAAAAGAAAATTAAATGCAAGGGAGGGAGGGAAAACAATTACAAACAGGAGCCATTTGAAATAAAATAAATCCATATTGAAGCAAAATTTTGAAGATAAAGTGCATATCAGTATGAAAAAATTTACTATTAGAGATTGACTGCGGTTGAAAATATTCACTACCTTCACTATTCTCATAGTGCATCCCCAAAAAGTAGAAAGAATAAGATGAATAAACAGTTCTTTTTACGAAATCATATTTTCTTAGTGTCTCTCTAATTTGTTCTCCATRTTGTTTATTTATTCATTTTTTATTGGTTTCGGCAATATGGCTTATAGAATACAAATAGCAAATGCCGAAAATGATATTTCTTCATTACATCCAGGTTGTGTACCTTTCCGTTGCGAATTGATACGTCGCCTATATTGATATCTGTTTCAAAAAGGTAGAATGATACATGTAGGTCATTACGGACAGGAACTATATAAATGTCTTATCAGTATAGGCAGTAGTCGCGTAATTGCCGTGTTACGTAGTAACGGAAAAAGTCAATAGCGCGACCTTTCAAGATGGTAAATACTATTTCACTTACTGTGAAATAGATTATACATGCGTAAATTAAAGGCAGTCGTTATTGACTACATGCGTGGCTAGCTGCTAGATGTTTCGAAAATGTGAAGTAAAAAGTAAATTTATTATAACGTTAGAGTAAAATCTATGTAAAATTGATGAATATGGTGCTGGTGACGTAATTCGGGTTTCCTGTGCTGTTTACTCTCACTCAGTCACGAGCTCAGCACGATAGCTAAGTGGCTAGATAGTCTCTTCCAGAGGCAGTTAGCCACAAAAATATCGTCGTCTCGYGCAGCTATATAACGCACTCACTCTTACTAACTTTGGTCCACTTTACGTTCTTTCGTGTTTTCGAGACGATACGAGTTTCACAAAGTTTCCAGCATGTTTTGTCGCACCTGTTGCAATTATTTCGTCTAATTTCCACCTTTTCAGCTTCAGAAGCAACATCTATCATAACACACCCAGAAAATACAACAGCAAATGAATGGGAAACCGTTACATTACACTGCAATGTTAGTGGCAATCCAGAACCTACCGTTACGTGGTGGAAAGGCAATCGACTCGYTTCTATATCAGGAAGACTGACCCAAGACAGCAGTAATAGTTTAAAAATAACAAACATCACTAGAGCTGATAAAGGTTTCTACTATTGTAACGGTACTARCAATGTCAGCTCTACAGTGTCAAATTCGGCGTACATCACGGTTAACTGTAAGTAAAAAAACACAGCACGCTCCTTAAAGTACTTATTAAGAATAAGGCCGTCAATTGGATTATGACTGAAGAAATTATGGGATATCATAGAGACAAGAGAACACATTTTTACTGCTATAGAAATTTTTGCACTGCCAGTTTAATGTGTTGATTAATTTCAAATTAAGGAATATATGGCTTAATCATCTAATAGTTTAGTTTTGTCACGTCTTCAGATCCTACAAAGATATCTGTATCACCGCAGAATGTTACAGAGATTGAACATCAATCGGTGACTTTTAATTGTTCTGTGCAAGGCAAGCCCATATCACAGATAACATGGTGGAAGAATGATGTCAAGATCAACACAAGTGATAGTGTCAGAYACAGTGTTAGTGGGCATTCTTCAGCAAGCAGTTGCGAGGCATCTTTGACGATAAACAGCTTAGTGAGAGGTGACGAGGGGACCTTCCGTTGTAAAGCTGAGAATAGGCTAGGCACCGAGTATTCTCAACCAGCATACTTGACTGTTTATTGTGAGTATACTTTATTGTTCTATTCTAATACCCGTATTTATTATATCTCGTGAGGCAAACATGTAGCCATACATTGCCACTTGCAGATCCACCAAAGATTCTCACCTCTCCATCTGGACTCACTAAAACAGAGGAAGAAAATGTTACTCTCTCCTGTCGGTTCGAGGGCAAACCTATACCTAGTTTGGTGGAATGGTYTGCAAATGGACAGAAACTTGCCATCAGCTCCAACTCAAGGCTGACAGTCAKTCAATYWGRAGAMKCTAGTARTGCTAMATCTTCGCTTACCATCACCAATCTGAACAGARCWGATGAGGGCAACTATACMTGTGTCATCGGCAACAGCGTCAAAWCAAATGTTACTTCTAGTGCAGCACAACTTACTGTCAATTGTAAGTCCTATCATAATATAGCTACAATCTTATATGAAAATTATATGAAACACCGTCTATGATTGCGTTACTACAATCTCCCCTCCCCTTTTGCAGTGTTGTCCGCCAATGAATTGCTACAAAATCTACAAGGGTGACGGAAAGTAACGTGTGTGCAGCCTTGCAGTGGGGAAAGGGGGTAGGGTGTTTCGTTTATTTTGAATAAGATTGAAGCTCTTCAGGCGTAAAAAAATTCTACGCCCAGACTCTTTACTTATTGATTGACATCTTGTGTATATTTCAGATCCACCATCTATATTCATTTCTCCGAATCACACAAGTGCTATTGAATCGAGTACCGTTACCCTAAACTGCGAATTCTTGGAAGGCAAGCCACTACCATCAATAACATGGTTCAAAAATGGCGCCCCGTTCAACTCCTCCGACTCAAGAGTAGTGYTGATTCTGGAGCATACTTCGCTGGGGCATTCATCGACACTGACCATTCATAAAGTCGAGAGGTCAGACGAGGGTGCTTTCAAATGCCACGCATTTAACGGCATTGGATTGGAGATTTCTTCAATTGCCAAGTTGACTGTTAGCTGTAAGTGTCTTCAGTAGAAAATACACCAAAAAATAGTGTTTGTAAACTTAAACATCTTAAATTTAAGTTTACAAGATATCATGGAAACGTTCTCTAATCGAATCATGTAGAATATTTTTCCATCTTTTTAGGCATAAATTATGGAAATTTGTTTTTCCAGATCATCCCAACATTTTCACTCATCCTCGCAATCAAACAAGAAACGAAAGCCAGAGTGTTATGTTCAGCTGCGAMTATGAAGGAAAWCCATTAGCAACTGTGACATGGAAAAAAGGTGACGWKRTCATTACAAATGCTGGCAGAAGAACAATCACCAATCCAAGTGCTGTWGGWCGAGCCACCTCTACTTTGACCATCACCAATCTTAACAGGACCGATGAAGGGTKWTATACTTGTACTGTGAAGAATACAGTTGGTACTGTGGWATCTTCTTCGAACACTGGATATTTGACCGTTAACTGTAAGTAGCTAGAGGGGTATTGAACATGTTGACAGAGCTGCTGTGAAAAGGTAGACACAGGACTAGTGAATGTATGTGGTTAGGCGAAGAGATCTGTAGTTCTCCAATCATATCAATAGAAGTATAATCAGGGAATGGTTATCTTTTTATATTCTTTTATGATACTGATCTTATTCTTTGCCTTATCCGTTATTAGCGCTTTTAACTACGACGTCCACAACTCCCACACTAACAACAACAACAACAACAACAACAACACATCGACCATCAAGGCTGACAATCCTAAATCCAAACACAAACTTCACCGCTACTGAAAATGAAAGTGTCACGCTTGTATGTAAAGTGTCCAGCGTTACATCCGTTGTAATCACGTGGGTTCGTAACGGTCTTGAGGAAAAGKCAACCAGTACAAAGYTATCTGACTWCATGGTCACTTCAGAACTGACGATTGACAAMGTGCTCGCAAAGGATTCTGGGATATATAAATGTGTCGCTAAGGATGCTGGGATGATTGTTAGTACGTCGATGAGGCTAATTGTAAAAGGTGCGTTTTGTTCTTTGCTTTAATAACACCGTATCGATTCTGGTGAAGCGCATTAAAATTTTATTATTGACTTCTAGTTCCGATTAGTGTTGAAGTGATAATCTCCATTCAAGGCAAAGAGTTCACTAATGGACTACGAAACAATTCATCGTCACAGTTCCTTGAATTATCTCATAACTTTGAAAAA